TATACTGTTATTCACACAGTCAAATCGTGAAAATATCTTTCGAACAAACGTACAAAACACTACTACATTCCGCTAACAGAACTGACAAACGACACAAACCTACAAACCGATGCATAAAAATACTATAATTTCATCGCTATAGTTTCGAACTAAACCACCAGATAGGAGGAGCTGTCTGAATTCACTTACTATCAATACATGTATGCCCGCCTTCCTTGGTTTGAAATTTCACCACTAGAGAGCAGAAGCATGCACATGTTGTCTCCATTGTCGCAATGAAAGTGCCAGCTGACTGACTGTATCGATCGAACAGCTGTGCGGATGTTTTTAACAACGTGTGTTTTTGTAATTTGTTATTTACAGAGTTATGATAAATTTATTATCAAAGAAAAATAACAAAATGGTATTGTGTATCTCTTGATGAAAGTAGTTTTGAAAGTAACCCGCAAAAAACTAAATTGACAAAGATAAAATCTAAAATTTGCAAAGCATTATTGCCAATATTGACCAAATGTACTCTAAATTACACTACGTTTGAAAATGAATTCCCTTGTTTGTGTTGCTTTTGTACATCACCATATCAAAAACTTTTATGAATGGTGAGACTTTTATGAACATAATATGTACGGTAATTTATGCTTTCAGAATGCTCGAGAAATTCGACTCTTGGTAATAGTGGGAATTATATCAAGCGGATCATTCAAATTATTCATTTGTCCTGGCGAATGCGCCCTCATATGCGTTGTGAAAATTTGTAAAATCTCGTGTTTTAAATCATTTTTGAAAAATACATATTTTTAAAAGAATTAAGGTGTTATATAAATAATACCTAGTTTATTACATAAATTTCCTTCTTGAAAAGTCCATTTACCTAAAGTGAGTAGGCCTTCACTTACAAAACCACATATGTTTAAAATATTAATTAAATGCATTGATTGCCTTTTTTAAAAAAATATGTAATGTCAAAAACATGTGTGATGTATTCTGAAAAGAAGTTCAATGTGTGCATGATTTCTTGAACTCTGGGATCTTTGTGCTAACACATTCACATTAAGATGAATTATGAGTACAGAAAGCAATGAGATTGCAAATACTGTGTTCATTGCAAATATATTGGAATTATTGTGAGAATATTTTGTTGTCTTTTTTTTCTCTGGATATGTTAAGTCCTGTGTTTGTGTTTAACAATTTAGTAGATTGTTACTTTTGCAACAAGCTGTGCAATTTTTAATTCAACAACTGTGAATAATTCTTGTATTAAAATCCACAAAACTATTGTACAACTTTTTACTGATTTATTGGTAACTATAAGCTAACTTTTTCTCTACAGTCGTTTTCTTTAAAGTCACGAAAATAATTTTCAATGGAAAGTTATCTTTTAAGTCAATAGTTTCTCTGAAATGCTTGGGATGTATTTTAAAATTGAAAGTATTTCACTTTTAATTTTTTTTACTATCTTTAAATCACATTCTTATCTTTATAAGAGTTCTTCACAATCAGTCAGTTCTGTGGACTGGATCAAGTCAGACTTTTAACATTAGTTGCTATACTGGTGTTAAGTTAATAGCTTAACATTTTAAGAGCTCAAATTATATTTTAATTTAATATAAAATATGTGCAAAGGGATTCCAAAGGTTAATAAAACTTGCACAGTGTTACACATCTCCCCATTCTTCACACAGTTTTAAATGTTCTGCACCTCTTTCAGTTCATTATGGAATAACCTTTTCCCAACTTCAATATGATATTGAAATATGGGGATGTATGACACAAAACAAATGAGGATAGATTAATGGTCCTAGAAAAGAAACATATCAGAAGCTTTTTCAAACAAAATCTGAAACAGTTACCTGTTTTTTATTAAGTATGAAATATGACTGTTGAAGCTCTTTACTCTTACAAACCATTACAAAAAATGACTACTTTTGAGAAATAATCAGAATCAATATCTTGTAAGTAATAAAGAGTTACATAACTACCATTCTAAAGGGCATAGGAACTATCACAGGATATACACTAGCGAGTCTTAGACTTACAAAGATTCTTTCTGCATTGCTGCACTGATTTTTAATGAACTCCCAGTTACCATAAAATTAGCTGATAATATATACTTCAAAATATTGCTTAAACATCACCTTAATAGTGTGTGCATATAAGATAGCTGAATTGCTTTAAATTCTTTGTAATTACAAACCATGTACTACTACAAGAGTGTCCACTCTGTACCAACCTTTCAGTTCAATAAGGCAATGTAGTTATTAGTGATGTAAAAATATAATTTTAGGTCAGGATATTGTAAGCACTTACAATTATTATTAACATCTAAGGTATTGAGGTTATTGAAGTAAATTAAGCAACTACTGTATGATTACTCACTTTGTAAGTTAGTATTTGCTATTGTATCATAATCTGCTTATGTAATGTATTAATGTATTTTTAATATAATCTCAATGTAATGTAGTGTTAATGTTATTTTTAATTTGATAATGAGACTTTGTGTAGTTAAAAACTGTAAGTTATTTGAATGTTTATTATGACCACATGCATGCTTCATTAATCATGTAATTTATCAAGTAAACTTTTTAATTATTACTGAATGATATCTAATTGAATTTAATTCCTGGTATAACTTAAATTAATTTCATTTTTCATATTAATCAATTTTATATATTTTCACTTATAATTTATCAAGATACTGTTAACTTATTAAATTATTACTGTAAGTAAATATTATTAAATTATGTAACTAACTTATTGTAATTTTAAATAATTTCTAAACAGACTTTGCTTGATACTCTCTGTAAGTCTATAAGCAATAAAATTATTATTATTATTATTATTATTATTATTATTATTATTATTATTATTATTATTATTGTAGTTGTTATTGTTATTCTTTGAAGAATAACTTTGATTTATATATGATGCTAATTTTTTTTTGAACATTCAATGTAGAATTGGACCTACATCATAAAAATATGGTTACCTTTAACAAGTTAACTAACTTTTCTTGCTTTGGGGAAAAAAACAGAAATGTAAGGATGACTTGCTTTGAAAATTTGTCTTGTGTAATAACTTTTTTGAAACTGTTTTAAACAAGATATGTCTAAATTACAATGAGATAATGAACACTTATTGACACGATCAATAAAAATTAATTGAAGAATTTGAAAAGATTTTCACAACTCTCGTGAATTGGAATAAATTGTCATCTACAGTGAAAAATATTTTTCTTTCAAAGTGTATGTGCCAGTTACAGTGTACAGTTACAGTTACAGTGTATGTGCCAATAATGTATACACTTTAAAATTTCAAAACTTGTGATTTGTGTAATTGTGATTTCTTGCAAATTTAGTACATGTGTTTTTATATATACATTTTTATTCTATAGCATTAGTTACAAAAATCTTAAATCCGAAAAAATTTATAAAAAGTATTATGTGTGCTAAAAAAAAGCAACTGTAATACAATAAAAAGATAATATTATCATGTGATATATTTCATAATTTTGAATTAGAAATTGTTATTCATAGATGCAGTAAAATTTAGGGCAGTAAAACAGTTGTTAGAAAACTCAAAGAATATCAAATATTAATCTACAAATATAAAAAAAAAAATACACCTGCTTGATAAAGTAAATTCATAATTACTTGGAATTGCCACCTCCATGTCCAAATTCTTTCATAAACTTATACTTTTCCTTTTAGCTGCAAAAATAAATTGATTCAAAGTAAAATATGATTCAGTTTAAAAATATTCTTCCTTTAAAAGATGTATATTTTTAAATAAGAGTATAAGGTTTCAACAAGCAATTTTAATGAATGTTTTGAATAATTATGTGAAAAGAAGATTTTAAAAATTATCTCTGTGTAATAGAACTTATTGCATTATTCTTTGCAATGGCACATTATGGTATTTCAGCAATTCGTTCAACAAAATAAATTGGATCTTCATTATTCCAGAGTAGAACAATACCATTATTCTTCCATGCTCTTTCTTACTGTTTAAATTCATAATAGTAATTATACTTGTTAGTGTAAATGAATTAGTATTTTAATTTTTCATACATCATATTCCAAATCACATTCCCTTATGATTAGGCAAAGGGATAATGACAGTTCATTCCAAAAAATAAGTTTTGGTTTTTCAAAAAAATTATTAGTATAAACAAGTCCTGTAGAGAAAATTGTTTGAAATTATATAATTTATTGTAACTGAAGCAGTTATCAAATATGCAATGTAAATGAAACATAATTCTGATAATATCATGAATATATTTTGAAGGTTGATAGCAACTTTGGAAATATGGCTTTGATAAAATTAACTTCTTGTTTCTTTCCTTCTTTTATAATTGTGAGAGAAAAAATTTAAGAAATCATGTTTCTAATGTTTATGAAAACTAATTGAAAGAAATTTAAAAATTTGTTAGTGTTGACTATGCACTCAATATTACAAATATTGTAATATATTATAAAATATAAAAATATACAAATATTGTAAAAATCATGTAATATATTCATGGGTGTCTGAAATTAATGAGCGAAAATACAAAAGTGAAATATCAGAGCCAAATATAAATAGAAGTCCACAAAAGTAAGTAAACTGATTAATGTATTAATTTTGTTTTAACAAATTTATCAACAGAACAAACCATCAAAAACAGAGTTTTCTGATTTCTCAAAATTTGTTTTACTCTATTACATATATTTTTGTGTGTATTTAACAACTTTTCAATTAATATAAAAAATGAGGGTTTAGAAGTTCAGAGCAAAGTGCATTATGTATGTGCACAGCATGATAAAAAATTATATAAAAATAGGAAATTTGAAATTGAATGCTCTTAAGTGTTTTTCAATGAACCAGTGTTCAATGCACATTCTATTATTTCAAATACAGGAAGATTAGGCTCACAGGAAGATTAAACTTCTGGCTACTAGAGAACGAATACTGAGACTATCAATACGCTATGACAGCTTGGGGGGTTTGTATTGATTAACTGGCGACGTAGGGGAGGTGTTTAGGTATATAAGGTTATGTCTAATGTTATGTTTCGCAGAAACATCTCCGAACCTCATAAACAATACGGTGTGTAGAGAACATACTCGACATTCATTCATAACACGTTGGCGTCGAAATAACCTGCAGTAAAATCAATGTTGGTACAGCCCCAGCATTGGTAGAAGGCGTTACCAATATTGACGTTCAGGTACTACTCCATACTCCTCGAATAAATACGTAGTTATGAAAATGATGGGTGACAGCAGTAATAAATTCGGAATATTGTTTATGAAGAAAGTTTTAAATTGAAGTGTTACACGAAAATATTGAGTCAGTTTGTCCGTGGGCCTGAAATAACAAGCAAAGAAACTTGGTAGCAGTGATTGTGATACTCGTATACTGAACATCAGAAAAGCGAATCGCGTTGTACGAACAACTTGGTGGGTGTTTATCGCAATAGTGGAATGTACTTTTTGAAATATCATCGTTCATGGAAATGTTTGATACAGATCTTTACTGCATTTATAGTGTTTCGATAGTGAAAATTATCAACGCTATGTGAAAATGTTTTCGTCTCTTGTATGTTTTATAAAGTATCGCATTCTTATTTCATTCCACATTTAACATTATGCAAAATTTAAAAATGAAGTACTGTATTAGTGTGTATATGTGTGTTTGTGTTATTATTAGTGAAGGATGGACGGCAGAAATAACGAGAAAAAACAGAACTGACAGTAAGTGTAATTGTTCCTTTTGGGCGTTGTTTTTGCGTAAATTGTGGCAGAAATTCACTGTTAGTTATATTTACTTCTAGAAACACTGTACAGACCACTGTTTGTGGATGAAACTATATTTCATGCATGTTTCACTACATTTTTATGGTCTGTTCCTTGTGTCACTAATACTTACTGCTGTAGTTTTTCTCAAGATCTGTTGCTTGTTTTTTAACACTACTTTCTTCTGATTATGTAATATAACTTGTATGAATGACATTAAAATAAATATTTTATTTTTAATTTTTTAACCTGTTGTTTTTTTTCTTAATGTAGTGAAAGTGTATGCTTGGAACTTTCACTTAGCATGAATTACTCTTTCATAAAACATTTTACTACTTTCTTCATAATACAAATAAAACCCACTATTTTTTCATTATTTTTCTTTAACCTTTACTTTCAAGATGCTCATTATTTCTTCAACTTTTATTCATAGATGTATTGTTGCACGTTCTGTTATTACAATCGTAACTTTTATATGAAACCTTAATTATATTCCAAAATGCTACTTAACATTCATGTTCATTCTTAGTAATATTAATGTTTCTAAGAACAGCTATAGAACCACATGACATTATTGTATTTTTATCCCTTTTCTAATATATATTTCCCTTCTGAAGATTGTTTGTCAGTGACATTTTTGTTTTTCTTCCCCCCTAAAAATACCAGCTCATACAATAAAATTAACAAATATTTTATTATTGAATTATAAAAGGGCATTAAGAATTATAATTGTTGCATTTGTTTTGCGGTGGTGAATTTCTATTGCACGTTTAATATAAGAAATATATTTAAACCATGTTTTGTGCAAATAACTGATAGTTGTCAATTTATGTTTGGTCTTTTTTATGTTTTGTACCCAATTATTAAACATGTGCTACCATATTGACTGCTAGGCACAAACAAAATATTGAATAAATGTTGAAAGCTTTCTTTCCACTAGATGTGTTATTGTCGCAATGATAACAATTGCAACAAATAAATATTGTGTGCTTTTCCTTATTTTTTATTATTATTATTATTATTATTATTATTATTATTACTATTATTATTATTACTATTATTATTATTAAAAAAGGGGCGACAATAATTTTTATAAAATCTTAAATTCTTGATGACTTCCTCTTCCTTAAGCTTTTAAATTTCTCTGAGAGCAACTTTATTTTGCTGCTGCATTCAAACTGAATGTTCCCTTTGTAATGGTTGTTTGAAAATATTCATTTTCTATTCTTGTTAGTTCTGTCTTAACTTTCTTTGTGTGATGTATTTGTTCTGATGCAGGTCGTGGGCATGTCTTTAACGTGGACTGTCCCGACTTTGGTGAAGTGGACCACGGTGTGGTAACACGAATTGATGCAAATATTCCTGCTCTTCGAATAGAGTGCGATGATGGTTACGACCTCATTGGCCGGCCTAAAATTCTGTGTCAAAGTGGTCAGTGGGAAAATATTCCCCGACCACAATGCGCCAAGCGTAAGTGCGTTTGGCGATTTCCCTTTTAACATTTTGCTTCTTTCCCTGAATGTGCTGTTTAATAAACTAATTAATCCAGCTTTTCATTTGATTTATGGAAATTATTCTTCTTTGTTTATACATTTTTACAGAGAACATTTCTTTGCTCTATTTTCTTGAAAATCTTTGAAGCACTAAACATTTTGACTTCATAAGTGGTAAATATATTTTTTGCTTTGCAATTTGTCCTGAGAGTTCAGTCTTAACTGAAAAAGTTTCAATTCTATTGTGAGTCATAAGTTTTTCCTATTGTTTTTGATTTCTTGACTTCAGTTTACCAGCCATCAATGCTTGTAGTGGGTATGTTAAATGTAATCTGTTGTTTTGTCTTTACCATGGGGATAAATTTCTTCTTTTACTTTCCTACTGAATCCTTTGTCTACTTGATTCATTAGATCTGTGAATAGTATTGCTATTGACAGTATTTTATGTGAATTGTTGACGATTATCTACCCTTCTGAATGAAAACATTATTGACTAGTAATGATTGCACTATAAAAAAAATTAGTATTAATTATTATTCATGAATTAAAAAGTAAAAACATATCAGATTAATTTTTGAAAATATTTCATTAAATAAACAAAAAACTATCAGAATAATCATTTTACTTTGAGCTTGTCACTAAAATGGGTGAATTTAGACGTTTATAACCTGATTACATGTTTAATTATTAACTTCGACATTTGTTCACTTTTTATAATAATCTTATTGCAAATTTAAAATTGGAGATAAGTAGATCTGTATTTCAAAATTATCAATTCATTAGCATTGTACAAGATAATACATGTTCACAAAATTCTATAATATAAATCTATAATACAGAATTGTTTTTGAAGTACATAAGAGAAAACAATTAATTTTGTTTTGTGATCTGAATTCAAAGTCATGTGTGATGCAAGGATTCAGAAGTATAATTTCAGAAAAACCTGTTGCTGTGAAGTGTGAATCCATTTCAAATTCATTTGCATACCTCTCTAATTTCAAATGATTGTTACCAGTTTATTGCTAATCAGTGCTGGCGCTAGGCATGGGCAGACTAATTTTTTAATGACAGTTTTGTAAAGTGTATGTGTGATGAACTTTGAATACAACTTTCTTATTTTTCATCTCTGTAAGTGATGTCAAACAGTATGTGTCAATCAGTATGTGTGGGGCCACGCAAGTGTAGGGGCCTGATGAAACTAATGGGGAAAAATTAATAAAAAATGGAAAAAGAAATTAGAACTCGAGAAAATCGTTACAGTTGTAGATCTAAAATAAATTAAATTAAGAAAATCGTTATCACAAATTTATAAGTTGCGATTCAGTAATCTGATATTACATGAAATTTTCAATTAATATTTTACCTTAAATATTTAATTATGGTCATTATTTATAAGATAGATCTCTATGAAATGAAAAAAATGATGCTAACTTTAAAATAGGTTCCACTAAAATTCATATTATTGTTTCATGTAAGTGGTTTTATTAAACACTCACTATACAAGATATTTTAGTGTTTTAAGATCACAATGAAAATTGTATTATTTGTTCACCAAATACTTTTACTTAAAATATTATTTAAAATATATTTCCAAAAACTTTTTCTAGCTTAAACATAAGTTTTGTTATTTGTTGGAATTAAACAACTCATATAGTTTCTTGATATAACTTTCACATTTTTAATTTTCTTCAGGTGGGGGTACATTTCACATTGCCCTGGGCCCAAATTGTCTAGCTCTGACACTGTTGCTAATGTAAAGAAAAAATTTTATGCAGTTAATGCTGTTTAATAAATACTTCTAATGAATGAAATCCAACTTTCTTTTTTGAAAACTCAAATCATGTATAAATAAATACTAATAGGGATACTACCACACTACACAAATTAAAAGATGACTTGTCATCAGAATGTAGACCCTGCTGACAATATGCATCAGTTACATAATTAACATATCTGTTGGAACAAAATTATTTTTCAGGTGTTAGAAAACAATATTTTTTTATACACATCATGTGTTTGCATTGGAAACTCACAAAGTGCACTATCAAAAAGTTTTTTCAAATATAGTTTCTCTTTAAACTGACAGAACAATAAGAATTATTTATCAGAATTGAAAAGATATTGTTTTGTAGATTCTCTGAAGGACAATGATTTACAATTTGGAAGCACTTTGCGGTTGTAAACATTTTATGTAAGTGAACTTACTTTGTATAACTATAATATGGGATTTTCAGTGAATGTCCATAATATGCAGTTTCATAAACATAAATGACACTAAGTTAATGTTTCCTGGGTTGATAAACAATATAGTGTTATCACTAGGGAGCGGATATCTATTAATTTTGCATATTTTTGTCTATTATTTTAGGACATAGCTAAGTGAAATTTATTTACATTTGCTTAGAATTGGATGTTATGTATGTGGGTGCAATTTGTGCATATCTGACTGATTTTTCCTGTTGGATTTTTGGGAAATTATAAGAGCATATTTTACATATTTCATTAAAACAGAGACTTATTCCAAAAATGTTTCATCTTTTCATAGAATCTTTTTATTTGTGAGTTTTCATTAATTCAAAAGAGCTTATCACAGTTTGCATTTGTTTTTCTTCTTCCTTTCTTTAGATGATAAAATAGTTGTGTAAATGTAGGTTCTTCATATCATATTTTTTAAAACATTCAGAAGAAATACAAAGAGACATAAAATGTGCTTTACTAAGGTGAATATTTACTTCAATTATTTCTCTCGTGAAGTGGGGTTTGATATATTATGTTTGCACAAAAGAATATCATATCAGTTCAAGCATGCTTCCGCTGAATTTCATTGAGAAAGGTTTATTCAGAAGATAAAATATTGTTAATTTTAATTGCATATTTAAGAACTTTTAGCTCATAAATGCATATTTTCAAAAGCATATTTCAAGTTTTTTAAGGCATAAAAATCCTCTGCCTAGTTATCACATATAACGTTTGAGAGTTGATAATGGTCATTGCATCCATCAAGATTCCAAAAACATGACAGTTCTATCAACTGACAATAATATTGTATTTGATTTCATATTGAAACACTCAAAACCTAAATACATACTGATTTTTAACTTATAGTGATGAAAAATAAGAAAGTTGTATTCAAAGTTCACCAAACATATACTATATGTTACTGACGTTTATAAATTCAAACTCTTGCTTTCATGGATTATATTTACAACTTTTTTAAATTTAAAATTGTTATGTTGTTTTCTGAGCATTTTAATTAAGATTTAGGGGTTAAAGCCAATGAAGTGTTGACTTTGCCAAATAAATGCACCCTGGAGCAATGCACTTTGAACTGATAATGTGCCTGCCTGTTAGGTTGCAACCCACCTCCATTCATACGCTATGGAGAAGTGAGAATTGACAGCCGTACAGAAGAGAGCACTTTCTTCCGCAAGGGCTCTCTGGTGACTTACAGCTGTGCCGCGGGCTTCTCCCTGGTGCCTCCCAACAGTCGCATTCGCGAGTGCAGGGATGGGCTATGGACGGGGATTCAAGGAACTTGTGGTTAGTATTTCTTGGTGCAATTCAGTTAAAGAGACCTAAAGTATTTTTAGGTGTATAGTTTGCATCCGTCTTCATAAAATTGGTCACAAGTCTGCAAGTAAATAGATTCCCGGCCGTTTTCTTCCATTTTAAAAGAATTGTTTGCTTCTTGCACCTCATTCATTCTTTTTCTGCAATGCACAGCATACATAATCAGTACACAAAGATTTGCACGTAAATTACTTAATGTTAACAATTCCATTTATCAAAATATCTTGATTTCCAATTATTGGAAATGCTCCTGTTTCTGAGAAGTTGAGTTTTGTAATCATATTCTGGAGAACGTTTCCTGCATTTTAGAGTTCGTTATGAATACTAATTTCACTTTCTTGAGCTTTCTAAACTTCCTAATGTTGAATGAAGAATGCAAAGGAAGGAGCAGATTTTATATTTATTATTACGTGATTTGTAGAAAATGAACCAGAAAACTATTATCAACTTTATTAATACTTTTTGTAATCAATGGGATCTCTATCTTTATACAATTCACAAATTGATTATACAATTCACAAATTGTGTTCAGCTCAATTGAACAATTCACCAGTTGGTTTCCATCTGTTGACCCTCAGTCGATTCCATAAATCTTCACTGACCCCTTCAAAATTTCAATGACCTGTCGAGGGGTCATACTAATCCAATTGGAAACCCCTGATTTAAACGATGCACTGTAGGCTACATTGTAGCTATAAGTGTGCATTAAACGTAATTTAGTTAGGAATGTTGCAGACTTTGATCTGAAGGAGAGAGTAGCACTGATAGTGGATTGAAACCTTTTCTGGAAAATATCCAGAATAAGAAAAAACACTTGGCGTATATTACAACACACTTTTTTTGTGATTGGCTAGCAGGACTTCTGACCACTTTGTGAATGTAGTTGTTTATTTTAAAGCTTCATAGATTTTTGTTTTTTACCTTTCCTGTTTGTTAGAGAGAGAAACAAGAAAATTAATAATTGCATCTTTTGAATGTGTGTAACAAAGGTGTTCATGTTTCTAAATATTCTTAACCAATGTCCTCTATCTCCCAGATACATTCTGTATGATGATGTCCAAATCTTAGCAAAGGAGGCTTTTGTATTATACATGGGATTTGAGACCTCGTGTGTGTTGCAAAATAAATTAGAATCCTTATGTATTGAATGTTGCTCTAATGATCAGATCTTTTGTCTTCTTGTTGTTGCATTTACTTTACAAATGACTCTGAGCTAAATAGAAACAATTAGCCCTACTTGTTGTAGTTGTATGTGAGTTGGACCTTAGAGGCAATTTTGCCCATATTTGGGGCATAATCATGTGAATATTGCACTTAATATTAAGTGAAAGATTTATAAATATTGCAAAGAGGATGGTTTAACACTTGATTTCTCTTTATTGTTTCTGTTACAAGTTCACGATTTTTATTTCTGCAAAAAAAGCTATTTATTTCAATCATATAAAATTGAAATTGATATTTTTGATGAATTAGATCTATCTTGAATAATTTTTTCTCTTAAGTTCAATATTATGTCCAAAACATTAATATTTGTATTGTTTTATGCTTCATTGAGTACAGGATGAATTCATTCGCTGAATAAATATAAAAACAACAACAGCGTATTCCAAGACCTGAGATTGTCAGCATTTGTGGGTATAAAGGGAATTGTGAATTTTATGGATAATAATGGGAATAGATCTTCATATGAAATGACTGATTATTGATCCATCTTTTAGAAGGGGATTTTACGACTTTGATGTTAACAGGTGCAGTAAAAAGAGTGATCTGTTGGGAAATATAAACATAATTTTGCTAGTAAGTAGCAAAGCCATAAAATACAGGTTGTCAGCCGTCAACTTAACTAATGTTTTAATCTTCAGTTTTTGCATATACTATTATGGTAACAATATCCGTCACATTTGTCATAGCAGAAGGCCCTTATTGTGTATAAAAAAATCTAAATAAATAGTCTTGGCTCTACGGGATAGAAATGTCAGATATTGGATGATACGTTTGTTTTAAAGTATAATTTGTTAGCTGGTGAATTGGTGTTCTACTCAGTCCCCGAATCTTGTCTCCTTAATTTAGCCCATTTTTGCGAATTCTCAGATTTGCCCGATTTTTCGGGAAATAGCGATTATACCTGATACCATGACTGGCGAAATCCGGCTCTGACCTACATGGGCTTGCCGGATTTTCCCCCAGCTAGGTATCTTCCATAAACGGGGCACAGGACTAGTTCTACTACGCTCCCGGCATGCATGATAGTACAGGGCACGCAAGTGTCAAAGTGCGTAAGGAAGGGGTGAGGATAGGACAAGGAAGACGAAGGAAAGATCGCGCGCGGTCCGTAGCCCGTATGGTAGGGTACTGCCCCGGCATTCGCCTGGTGTTGATCAGAGACACCACGGAAAACTACCGATGAGAGCAGCCGACCGCTAGAATACTCCTCCAGACTGCGGCTAAATTCGACCTAGCTCTCTAGCGAGTGACGAAACTCCTGCCGCAATCAGGACTCGAACTTAGGACCACCCAGGCATCGCAATTGATGCCCTGAGTCACTTTTGCCGGAACCTTTTCAGAAAGTTGTGTCACGCGCAATTCCGGCAATTTTCCGCCCCCGCAGACTCGCATAAAGTTTGCAGACATCGATTGTCCGTCTTTTGGAAGCACCCGTCCACCATTAAACTTCTGCATCTCTTTGTCGGCGAGGCGAGAAAGTGCCTTTAAAAATTAATACCGTCATTTCCGTCCCCGCTCCAGTGACCCTTTTTTTTAAACCGCCGCTCGGCTTTTGTTGGGGGCGGCGGGGCGGGAGGATTTATTGCCCTAAGAGATTACCAGGAGGCAGCGGCGGCGGGGGCGTGCGAAGCGACTGTGCATTCTGTGCGGTGAGCTGGCGGGAGAAAGGTTACGTGCATATTTCCCCAGAGGTCGCTTGCACAAGTTTGCTTGAAGCGGTGTAAACTGGTCTTCACACCAAGGGAACGACAGATGTTATTTTTGGGGATGTCGCTAGATTGTCGTCATGGATTTTGTTTAAATAATGAAGGGTGAAGTGGTTGTGCAATTATTTACTGGTTGACTTTACAAAGTTATACGAGTATTAATGAGTGTGTTTCTTACGAGAATAGTTTATGGGACTCGGGGGGGGGGGGGGGGATCCAGCCAATCACTTTTTTGGATGGTGACGAGATCATATATTTTTGTGAAGTAATAAACGTATTTGTATATTATTTATGTTCTGTTGATATGATAGTTTACAGTATTATTGTATAAATAATTACGTAATTCGAACGTAAATATTGAATTCGATTTTTGATAGGAAGTTAAAAGAAAACTCTAGGCCTGGGGGGGGGGGGACTTGGCCCTCATGCACCCCCGTGCCTTGATCCGCCAGTGATCGGAGTGTCCTATCCGAGATACCGTTTAAGTTGACACCCCGAATATTACATGGTGAAAAAAATCTTTCAATGCGCTTCCTTGAGGGGTGGGGAATACACTGGATTTCGCTTAGAACGATCATCAACAGGAATGAGAATATAGTCGTTTTAACCTATCGTTATCAACAATATTTTCACGTATTGCACTGAATTATTCGAAAGCTGGAGTAAACGTTTATGTGCCCTTGAATTTAACGGAATACTTTGACGAATAAAAACTGGTTTTCGGATAAAAAGAGTTAAATCATGAAAGTGACTTTGAAGAAATAGGGAAAAACAATTTCTTCTGATCATCATAAACCAGAGAATATTTAAAAAATATTAAGTTCAGTATATTTTAATATTAGACTATTGGCCTCCAGCACCAAAAGTGGTGCTGAAGAAAACCATACAAAATGGTTTTCGAAAAAGTAGCACACACACTGCTCAAGAATAAAATACGCTTGTATAACGAATAAAATACGCTCATATAACATTGCAATTATATATTTAAACAAAAACCGTCTTCACAAATATTGCTGTAACATAGTATTTATATAGTGCAACCATTCTTTACATACATTCTTATTTATATGTTAAAATAATTTAATTTATAGAAGTAGGATTTAGTATACGCCTGAAGAAAACCCAAACCAAGGGTGATCAACTAAAAAAATTATTCTGTTCAACTGATGAAAGTTCAATAAATTACATTCTTTACATACTAATAATATAAAAAATTTGCTGATCCATAACACACGTGAATAGCAAATATTTAAATGGCGGGCAGCGTCTTCCTTGGAGCCTTGCTGTTGCGTGGCTGTGTCATTAGTCGTGACGAACTTAGTATGAGAATTCAGTCGGTATACAAAGCACGCGAGAATAGACGGCATACTACCATCAAATAATTGCATTATTCGGTCAAAATTGAAACTGTTTCAAGGTTCATAAATTTTTCCCGAGTTCCTGGGTATCTAACGAAACCACAAACACCTTTCAAAAGGCAATAGACTAAGTAGTTTTCTTTCAGTTTTGCACGCATTAGAATTTACTTACAGAGATAATTATTATTCGGTTACCATAAGCTCTCAGGTTTATAATGCAACAAACAAATTATAATACAACGCAATAGAAGAAGCTGAAATACTACCTGTTATAAAAACAAAGGTTATTTGAATTAATTTGATTTATTTAGTCAAAAAACAGTAGGAACTGTGGTATATGACGTATGGGGAAAATCAACTGTGTACGTTTTCTTGAGTTGCAGAACCCCTTCCCAACATTTGAACTAGAAATAGTTGAAAAATGGTAGGATCAAAAAATAGGATGGTAGAATCAAAGGAAGGGCTTAACTATACATGACTTCGCGTATGATCTAACTTCACAATGGTGTCATTTCGTCTCTCAGAGTAATTCCTTCTTCAGACATTCCACTAGTAAAACATTGAACATCAATGAACAGTGCTAATCCTTAACAAGAATAGAATTAACAAAATAAAAAAAAGTTTGCTAATTGAAAAGGTTTCAGTAGAGAGTTATAGCGTTAGGCATAAGGAGCCGCTATTGACGTTACATGGTCGTAGGGAACAATGTTCATTTGAGCTTTAGCAATTGCGTCGTTGCGTTATGCATTACAACAAAAAAGCCTTTCAAGCCTTGGACAAAGAAGTTGCGTAATTTAACAAAGGTGAGACAATTAAACCACGGTACGAGTCAAGTGTAAGTCATCAAATCTCGATCACGTTGTGTCTCGTCGTCGTCACGTCGTGTTTTGTGGCTCTGCGCTATGAGTATGTGGTCTGGGATTTTGAATCGGGTTTTCTTGAGTATAAAGGGAATGTCTAACAGCATTCGGTGTAAGCATAACGCATAACCTAATGTGAAGATAAAATTTCAATTTATTTTTCGCGAATATTTTACCTGTCACCTTTCCAACATTTTCATTTAATTATTGGCTGATTTGTAGATTTTGTAAGAATTTATTGTATCTGTCTCTATATCTGTCTTTATATACGATAATTAGTTTGAGCAATGAAAAAACGCAATCTTTTGTTGAAAAAACGCCCCCTTTATTCCTGTTTATAGGCAGTCATTTTGCCGTTTGTAAGGGGACCGTAGACACTCCAACAGGCGTGCTCTGCGAGGGTGTAGGTCGTACCTTAGGTCGAAGGGAAGACGTTAGAAAGTTCCGTCACGCGACTGTTAGTACATAATGTCGCTACTGTACGGGGTAAAACGGTAAAGAAAAGCTCGGCATCTGGGCCTTGAAGTCTAATTCAGAGCTATTCCGAAATCCATTTACAATAGAACGCAGCAAAATGGTTGCTACATCCGTGTCGGCTAGAGCTAAGCGAGGAGGAATAATGTTCCACAGTAATTTTGTGGCTAGAAAATTTGATGGGAAGGAAAAAAAGAAAAAAAAGTGCATCAGAGTTGGGTGATGGTATGAGAGGTCTTCACAACCATTCAGGAGAGCTCGAAACATTCATCATCATTTGCACCTTGCCAACTTGCTTGCTTCTCATGGGCAAGTCGGTGGAACTTATTAGCAGTGGGCGAAAATTCCCACCACCTCACCGGGATTCGAACCCGGGTGGTGGTGGTTAGTAGTCTCGCACGCTATCCACTAGACCACAGAGTCTCTCTTCTCGGGTGCGTACCAATGCGAGAGGCAGTCTATCTTAGCGAAGTTTTTGTTGGTTGTTTTTTTCATTCGCGCATACCATTTAACCCACTTCTGTGGCTTAGGGCTTCGATATTATTGTCTCTGACCCGCTGGTCCTGGGGTTCGACTCGCGAAGATGGCAAGATTTTCGACACTAGCTACACAATAATTATATCGGCCGTCTGCTCTGATTGGTAGTTTTCCGTGGTTACTCCAATCAACAGCAGGTGAATACCGGAGCAGTTCCCTAACAAACGGGCCTCAGACCGCGCGCGACCTTTCCTTCCCATTCCTTGTCCTATTCTACCTCTTACTTACACTTATACGCATCACTCTATCGCACATGCCGGGAGATTAGAGTTTGTCCCGGCTGGGGCGGTGCTCCGCTGGAGGGAGATACCTGGTTGGGGAAAACCCCGCGTCGGTGGCCTCCTGAGGAAGCAAAAAAAAAGAAAAGAAAAGAAAAGAAAAAAGGCATGCGTGTGAAGTTTTCGTTTGTGGTTGTGCGTGTCAGTGTCGGACGGGTGCCCGTGGCCGGCCAACATCACCAACGGCTACTTCGTGCTGGAGGCGCCGGCGGGCGCCGCGGGCGGCGGGGGCGGGCCGGGGTCGTCGCTGGCGCGCGTGGGCCAGCGCGCGCACTACAACTGCAACCTGGGCTTCGCGCTGTGGGGGGAGCCCACGCAGCAGTGCGTCGACTCGGGCGAGTGGTCGCGCGCCGCCAGCCGGCCTGCCGCCGCCCCCCGCCCGCGCCTCCCCGCGCGCCCACGCGCCCCGCAGCCGCCGCTACTCAGGACGAGGACGACGACGACGCGGCCGTCGCCGCCGCGCTGCCGCCGCCGCCCGCGCCGCGCGCCGACGACCCCAACGCAGGTGCGTCTCGGCGCTCGCCGCCGCTTCCTTCCCTCCCCCTCCCGCCCCTCACTTCCTCAACCCTCCCCACCCACTCCCTCAACCCCTCCCCTCTCCACTCCGTACAACTCTCTCTCCCCCTCCCCACCCTTACACTCCCTCAACCCTCCCCTCACTTCCTTCACCCTCTCCCCTCCTCCCCAGCCCCTTCACTTCCTTAACCTCCCCTCGCTTCCTTAATGCTCTCCTTCACTTAACCCCCTCTTTCGGCTCATTAACTCTCTCCTTTTCCTTAACTATCCCCTCCCTTTCCCTTCCCTTTCATAACCCTCCCCTACACTTTCTTAACCCTCTCTTTCGCTTCCGTAACCCTCGCCTCTTCCTTAACTATCTCCTCCCCTTGCCTTCCCTTCCTTAACCCGCTCCTTCGGTTCCTTAATTCTCTCCTTCACTTAACCCTCTCTTTCCGTTCTTTAAACCTCGCCTCTTCCATAACTATCCCCTCCCCTTTACTTTCTTAACCCTCTCTTTCGCTTCCTCAACTTTTCCATTCACTTCTTTTTTGACATTGCCATTCACTTCCTACACCATTCTCCTCACTTTCTTAAAAATGCATTTTACTTCCTTAACCTTCCCATTCACTTCCCTAAAGGTGTCGTTCAATTCCGTAACGTTCTTTATTTTCTTGACGTTGCACTAATTTTGATTAGCCTCGCCTACTTCACATTCGTCTTCACTTCTTTCCCTTTTCATTTCTGCTGCCCCGTGCTCCTTCACTCATTTCCTTCTCTTTCACTTTTCTTCAGTTTCAGGTCCTTTTTCTTCTTTTATCCCTTTCTTCTATTTCACCACCTTTCCTCTTTTTGTGCTGCCTTTCCTCTTTCTGTACTTGCGTCCCTGTTTCTGCTCTTCCTTTCATCTTTCAATACTTTTTCCTCTTTCGTTACATCGTTTTATGATACATTACATTGTTTCCCCTTTTTTACTTGATTTCCTCTTTCTGTACGTCGATTTCTCTTTCTTACCCTTTCTTAACTTTCAAACCTGTCTTATTGCCGTTCACTTTTTTTCCAACTTTTTCCATCTCGATTTATTTCCGTTTAATTCTATTCCGTCATCCCTGTCCTTCCATTCGTCTGAAGCTTCTTCTCTGGTCTTCGTCTTTTAATTTTCTTTTACTTTATTTACCTTTATTCCATCTCTTGCGTTTTCTCTTTCTTTCCTATCTTCTATTTCCTTCTTTGCATCTTTCTCGTCTCATACACCACTGGCTTTCCCTCCATCTTCTTTTATTAGATGAAATATTAGGGAGTTTTTGCATCTCAAACCGTTGCAGCAATCGACAGCACTATCGAACTTTCGCGCATGCGTAGTTCGACCTCCGCATCAGTTTTGCGCATGCGCAGCTGATCGAAATTGCAATCCGTGACGTGCAAAAACCGCCTATTATTGTTGTACCGTGTACGAGTAGTATTGAGTTCTATGCTGTTGTTTTGCATGAGACAGATTGCCGTAGTTTGTCAATGGTATAAGAGTTGGTGTATGGGGCTGTTGTACCCAAGTTTATGGGTTCAAACCCGATCGAAACAACGAATTTTTAAGGGCGAGAAAAAAATATCTTTCAGGGGGGAAGTAAAGGTGGCTGTCCCATGTTGTAGATTTACTGCATGTAAAATATCCTCAAGCTTAGAACGAGCTTCTGAGCTAAATTTTAATCGCCTGTTTTTTTTCGCTCGAGTAATACCTCCTTTCTCCGCTAGACGGTGAAAGGAGCGTCGCGTGAATATCGTGTTGTTGCTCGGAAGCGATGTGCTGTGTGTCTCGCCACGTAAACTAAGGCATGCATTGACAATTGAAATGTGCAGCGTGTGTTGAGAGTGGTGTTTTGTTTCTCTGTCCGCGCAGCGCCGGAGGGGTGGCCGTGGAGGCCCAACGTCACCAACAGCTTCTCCTCCTCCTTCCTCCTAGGTCAGTGCTCCCCCGCCCCCTTCACCACCACCGCCTACGCATTGGGCATGCGACATCGACCCCAAACCATCGATGTTATTAAACATCGGTGTTAGTAAAACATCGATCCCAAACCATTGATTTATTAAACATCGGTGTTTGTAAAACATCGATGTTATTAAACATCGGTGTTTGTAAAACATCGATCCCAAATCATGGATGTTATTAAACATCAACCCAAGACCATTGATGGTATTAAACATCGATGTTAATATAACATCGACCCAAAACTATCGATGTTTTTAAAATTGGATATGTAACCATCAGTTATTGGCGCTTAGGGAGGGTGGATTTAATTCCAAAGTGGTTTCGTTTATTAATTTTTAATTGAGATTTAAACGACTAAGCAAACTAAAAAAAATCATCAGTATAATTAACAAAACATTAATTATCTCATTCGATAATTCAATACAGGTTTCTGTAGTGACGAAAAATCGATTTTATTTATTTTTCACACTTGGTAATCTTTGCCTGAAGAATATTCAATTTATGCATGTCTAAATAATATTATTATAGAATTTTATGATGGGACTTTTTTCACTATCAACTATCCACCTCGTTAAAATATGGACCATACAACATCGATGTTTAAAAAACTTCGGTTTCGTAAAATGGATGTTAAATACATCGATGTCGCATTCCTCCCATGCAGCTTTGAAGTCTTGGATGTCCCCTCCGTGTGACATATCATGTGAGACGCTTGTTTCCAAAAGGTACCAAATCCAACTACAAACATTTTATAGTTGAACAGAAAAACTTACTGTGGCTAAAATAGTTAATGTATTAAATTTTGTAGTTATTATATTAACCTTGTGTTTCTCTGTGAGTCACTACAATATTTCACAGCAAATTTTACATTATTTCATATTTTATTCCAAAATTATGAGGATTTTAACATTAGATTTAGGACGTTTTGACAAACAGAAGTAGAAAAAGTTGAAAAGAGGTATTATTAATGCCCAAATTACTATCAATATTGATGTTTTTAGAAACATTTAAAATTAGCATCTTCATTGAATGATGTTTAAATTATTAAAATATCAAAATATAGCGAAACTTAACATTATCGAGAAACTATTTTCATTCTTCATAATGTACATCACTGTTATCGGGCTCTCCATCTTCGTTATCTTTATTTTCTTTTACATTATCCTTAATTTTTTGTTATGCAAGGGCATATGGATTTGGTACGTTTTGCTGTGAACCTAAAACATTGTTGACATATGTGAACGAAATTTGGAAAAAAACCTTTGTGCTAGAGAATAGTTTGCATTTAAACTGTGAAATATTTAAAATATGTCAATTGTTTACATTATTAACTAAATTCACAAGTACAAATTTTTTAATCATATTTCTGCACCTTGTTGCAAGAACCACCTCAATATTAGGATTTCAGTATAAAACTGGTGATTTTGCACCAAGACACAGAATGACATTGGTGGTTGTTACATCAAGCTCCATATTTATAAATGTGTAATAATGTGTTTTATATTCTGTACCATTTTTCAAGGGTAGGCTTAAACCCCTCCTCCCCACCCTTTTTTCTTCTCCCTAACTTCCCCATTTTCTCGTCAAGTTTCACTAATTTTGTCCAGACATTTGGCACACTGTATATGACGTCTTCTTGTTCATCTACTATTTCTACTTCTTTTTACTTTTCTTTGTCTTCCATCTGACACCCCCCTATGAGATTATTATTCCCTATGACAATATAGCAAAAGTTCCCCACTACCTAAATTTGGTTAGCTCACATTTTATCCTGCTTTTCTGCATCTTCATACGAGTATTTGATATCTTAAATTTATGTTTATTCTTCATTTATCTGTTATTCTTTCCCCTTCACTTCTTTTTTCCCGATTCGAATGTTCTTCCTATTCTACCATTTCTTTACATTCTTCTTCTTCTTCTTCTTCTTCTTCTTCTTCTTCTTCTTCTTCTTCTTCTTCTTCTCCTCCTCCTCCTCCTCCTTCTTCCTCTCATCTTTCAATTACTTCTCGTTATTTTTTCACACATTGTTGTCCTTTCCCCATTGCTGTTTTCTGCCTCCATATCATCTTGCTTCTTCTCACCTCCCCACTCCCTACTTGTTCGTCAGCTTTGCGTCATTCTTGTTTTTCAACTTTTCCTCCCGTGACTACGTCTCTCATTTTTTTTGTTCCTCCTGCTTCTGCTCGTTCCCGTCCTCGACTTTCTCCTCTTCATCTTTCTCATCCGTTCCTCCTCTCCCTTGTACTTCATTCTCCTGTTCTTGTTTTTCTCCATATTCTCTACCTTTTCTTCTCTGCACTTTCTTCTTTTTTCGTGTCCTTACTCGTTCTCCTCCTCCTCCTCCTCCTTCTCCTTTTCTTGTCCTTACACATTCTTCTCTTTCTCCTCATTTTTCTTCTTTGTTTTTTCTTTGTTGTTGTTGTTGTTGTTGTTGTTGTTGTTGTTGTTGTTCTTCTTCTTCTTCTTCTTCTTCTTCTTCTGCTCCTATGTTTTTCCCGCCTGTCTTTTTCTTCTATTTCTTTTTCACCTTCTAATCTTCCAGTTGTCTTTTGTGTCCCCCTCCTCTTCGTTATTTTTCTTGTCTTCCTCCTTCCCTTGCCTTTATTTCTTCTCCACATCCTTCTCCTCTCTTTTTCGTCTGTTTCTGCCTTTTTTCCTTCTTTTTTCATCTCCGTTTGCTCGTGTGTCTTTTCTTCTCTCTATTTCTTCCCCTCCTCCGCCGTGTGTGACGCGCGCTGTGGTGCTTGGGCAGGCGGCGTGGGCGTGGGCGTGGGCGCGTCGCTGGAGGGCGAGGGCCCCCGCCCGTGCCCGGGCCCGCCCCCGCGCCCGGAGCACGCCGCGCTGGTGGCGCTGTCGGCGGGGCCGGCGGACGCGGCGTCGGCCGCCATGGCGGCGGGCATGGGCGCGGGCGCCGGCGCGGGCGCCCCTGCCGGCACGCGGCTGCAGCTGCGCTGCCGCGCGGGCTACCGCGACCCCTCGGCGCCCTGCGCCGACTTCCCGCTCGTGTGCGAGGACGGCGAGTGGCGCGGCCGCCTGCCCCACTGCGGTGAGTGCAGCGCAAACGACCAGGCGAAAATGACCAAACCACAAATGACCTAATGACAAAGTAGCACTAGCGAATATGACCAAATGACAAAGGACCAGAGGAGAATACGGGCCAAACGACGAGTCAAAATTCGGAACCTATTGAGAAAACGGACCAAACAATTAAAGACTAGTGGAGAAAAATGACAAACGACCAGACGAAATGCCCAAATGGCAAAAAAACAATGGAGGAAAATGTCCAAATGACAAAATACCGGTGGAAAAAATGACAAAACGACAAAGGACCAGAGGGAAAATGACCAAATGGCAAAGGTCCAGTGGAGAAACAAGACAAATGGCTCAGTCTCTCGACAACAGATGAGAGGAAAATGACCAAATAGCAAAGGACCAGTTGAGAAACATGACGAATCGACAAAGGACCAAAGGTAAATTACCTAATGGCAAAGAATCAGTAGAGAAAAATGATGAAATCACAAAGACCAGAGGAAAAATGCCCAAATGGCAAAGGACCTGGCGAGAAACATAAGAAATCGAAAAACACAGGAGGAAAAATGATCACATGGCAAAGAACCAGCAGGGAAAAACGATATGGCAAAGAACCAGTAGGGAAAAATGACGAATCGACCAATGAGCAAATGGTAAAGAACCAGTGAAGAAAAATGACCTAGGACCAGTGATAAAAATCACCAAAGGATCTATGGAGGAAAATGGGAATATGACTTGGAACCAGTAGAGATAATGCTCAAATGACTAAGGACGACTTGAGAAAAATGACAAAAGGACGCAGGACCAATAGAGGAAAATCCCAAATGACAAGGAACTAGTGGAGAAAAATGACCAAATGACAAAGGACCAGTCGAGAAAATGGGCCAAACTACAAAGAACTAGTCATAAACAGAACCTGTTGAGAAAACGGACCAAATAACAAAGGACCATGATGTAAATAATGTACGATGTGTGTACCATGTAAGACCAGCATGTAATGTTATTTTTGTCATGCAAAGAATCAGTTATAAAACAGATCAATTGAATAACGAATCAATTGGGAAATGGAGCAATTGAGATACGGTCCAATAGAGATATGGACCAACCGGGAGAACAAACCAGTAGAAAAACATGAACAGGCACTGAAGAAACGGTGATTGATAGGACCAATGGTGGAAGGAGAGACAAGGATAGGTGGAGAACTCCGGAAAAATCGACTGCAAACCTGTTCTGCCCACCTCACCCCTCCGTTACCTCATCATTCATTTTTTAACCATCAACAGTCTCCCATCAATACATTATCTCCATTCTCAGCAAGACAAAGGACATCGCTGTAAGACTCAGAATGTGGTAGTTGAAGTAGTGTTATGATAGTGAAGATAAATAGACAGTGAGACTAACAAATAAGAAAACTCACCAAAATAAACAAAGTTAGAAATAAAAAAAAAGAGAGAGAAAAATTCCCTCCAGGCTACCCTTTAAAAGACGTGCCATTGACACTTCTGATTTAACAGCCACCGCAAGTTGACTGAAATTTCACAGATAATGGCTTTGGTGGCAAGACAACATGTTTCAAACTTCATGTATTTTTAGTATTTTCTTTGAACAAGAAACTGCGATATCAAAAAATAAAGCAGTAAACATTCAAAACAAGTAAGCATTAGCATTCATAAACAATTCCTTGAATGTCTGCAGCATCATAATTACCTTTTTGCCCGAGCAGCCACTTTCTTTTTTTTGATGACCATGCATTTTGTGTTAGTTTTTGTATTAGAAAGCTAACATTACTTATCATACTTGCACTTACTTTCTCAGCAAAAATGACCAACATCTCTCCATACATTACGAACTGTCATCTCCTTTCTGCCCTCTTCAAAAAGCTTTCATTTTTAAATGTAACTTTTTTTTTTGTCATTATTTGGTAGTGAATTCTCTTGTCAAGCTAGTCTTAGCAGTTCAATTGTAATTGATGGAAACCTTCCTTCAATCTCCATTGCACTTCTGCTATGAATGATTGCTCTAGTGCAGTCAGACATTCAAGAAAATTATGATTAAGAGAGAAAGCTTTGTAAGGACCACAGAAAGGAAATTACAATTTCCAGTGTGTTCGAGCATGCGATGGTATATTTTGCAGAGAAAGAAAGTATGAATGTGGTTTGTTGAAGTTTAAGTGTTGGAAACATTAAATTCAAGTTTACAAATAACAAAATAAGTATCCAAATTCACCAAAACAGAATTAACTTCTTAAAAAAATTCAGTTATTAATTGTTCCATGTTCAAAATAATTCGTACATCAAGCTTGATGATTTTAATCTTGAGCCTCTTGGCATAAAAGCAATAATCAATTAAACAAAGCCTAAAATAGTTCACGTTGAAAAATAAGAGAAAAAGATGACATTTAAGAGGAAGAAGAGAAAGAAGAGAAGATATGGTCATAGAAAAAAATTAGTTACTAAAGGTTTCTAGTGGCTCCTAAGACTCTATCACAGAAATTGACTTTTTTACTATTGATGATAAACTGAAGTTCTCCAGTTGTTTAAGAGAATGCTTTGATTCTTTCTTCATAAACTTGTGTATAGGTTTTGTACATGAAGCTAAACTGAACATTTAGGCAAATTACTTCATAAAGAAAATTTATTTAAAAAAAATGTTTTGTACCCTAGCAGGAAAAAAAAAATGGTTACAACTATTGTTTTGGTTCACACACTAGCTACAATATCTGTATTCTTGAAAACTTAGAATTGAAGCAATATAGTTAGTAGTTATGGTGTCACATCTCATGTTCTCTTTTTTTTAAAAAATAAAATACTGTTAGCTTCCTCTAAAAAAGATTTAAAATGATTTTGTTGTGTGTGTTGACATATTAGTTCATTAATTCAATAAGTATATGAAAAATTGTTCTAAAACAATGTTTAAAAAAATTGTATTTGGGATGTAATATAACTCTGTATTGATGTGTTCCTGTCAGTTTCATTGCAACCTTAAATAAAATAATTGTGGTGTTCTGAAGTACGTTCTGTAGTAAGATTTTTTAATGTAACTAAGCTATTTTCTGATCTGTGCACATATGTAATAGTATGGAACAACAGATTTCCATGTGGTCTTACACAATTTTAGATACGTATAATCATTTAATTTATTTAGTCAAACAAAAGTAGAAACTGTATATGACATATGGGGGAAAAATCTATTCGAAAGTGCTGTTTCTACTCAATATTAATAATGGTCAATAACAACATATGTTTTTATTTGCACTCTTAGATTTATTGATTTCATTTCATTTTAATTTTCAAATTTGATATTAAAATACTGTATATTTTGAAGGGGATTCCAAATCAGAGTATCAAAACACTAATAGAAATAAGTGTAACTTAATTTGTTTGTTTTTGTTACGAAATACTGTTTATCACACATTAAATACTTAATTTATAGACAACAAAATGTTTACCCGTTGTAAGCCGTTGCTCTTGACTGACTGCAGAGCCTGCTGACGGGTGTCCGCCGCCACCTGCCTCCCCACATGCGGCCCCTCTGGGCCTATCGACAGATGGGCGCTATGCCCCACGGGCCCAAGTGGCATACGCTTGCCTGCCAGGCTACGCCCTTCAAGGCCCTGCCTTGCTCACCTGCGCTCCCTCTGGATGCTGGGAGCCCCAGCCGGCACAACCTGTCTGCAAGCTGGATCCACGACTTTTCGGTAAGCACATGGTGTTGCTTGGCAAGAAAAGGGAAAGAATCATATATAATAAATGTATTTTGGCCACATAGTTTACATGGACAGACAGTTTATAAAAGGAACAACATTTTTCAGAATATTTTTACCAAAAGTTTATTATTTGATATTTGCTGAGCAACGTTTCAAGAATTATGTTCATCCTAATCTTCAGGCTACAATACAATGAAGAAAACTATTATTATTTTAAAAATATATAAATAAGACTTCACAGAGATTAACTAATCAATATCAGTGAAAAAATTATTATTATACAGAAACATAGCACTTAATATAAACCATAAAGACACACCATTCTGAACAACAATAGAACCTACATAATTAAAGTAAAATATAAACAAGTATGTACCATCCATGACAGTCATAATAGAAGGGGAAAGAAACAGTCAGGAACACAATTTGAATTGATTGCAAAACTTGCAAAAGATGGTTACAATCCTTGTTCACTGAGATTTTAAAGGAAACAATTTTTTGCATTTTGTGTGCTAGATCAAGACTATTGTCTAATTTTTAGTTCTTAATTTATTAAAATTGCCCCCATACGTTCTCAGTCGACTAGGATTGTGATCTTCCCTTGTTAGAATTAGTTAGTTTTTCTAATATTTTAAGATCTGACATCTCAATGGTTTTGAAATGAAGTTGAACATGTACCATCAAATTATTTATACATTTAAGTTAGTAGCATGTTAAAAGTTTTGGTAGAAAATGTCGATTGTAAGTGAAACATTCTGGCTAAACAGGAAAGCAAAGATAGGAACGCTCCTGAAATGAGAGATGTACTTAATTCAATTAAAGAGCAAAAATTCGATGATAAGGGGCATTACATTGCCACACAGAAGTTAGGCCTTAAGGGGACCATCAGTGGAATGAAGATACCCTTTAAAACCACATCAATATGTGAAGAGATAGCAGAGTAAAGATGAAATTGGCTTGAACATTTTCAATAAATAAATTTACCAGGCTTGATGTCAGAATGTAAATTGTATGGGAAGAACTGCAGGATATCCCTACAGAAGGTGGAAAGATCAACTGCTGTATTAATACTTGATATCAGAATGGACCAGAGCATACACAATGATGAGTTGTTGCTCTAAAATATTTAGATCAGTTGTCACCTGTGTTTAGATTGATCATCATCACGAAGTTGATTTTACCGTCTGTAATTTTTAGTTTTCTTGGCTAGCTGCATCTTAATTTTTTCCGTGTTTCTATGTGACATTTTGTAATCAAGGATTTTGAAGCTACTAAATTCAAATTTGACATTTGTCAGTGTTTTGACTGAGCTATAATTCATGGGTTCAGTGTAACTGAGTGGTGAGAAAACTCATTTTTGCATTTTCTGGAAAAACAAGGATTATAAATCCTGAAATTTCTCAGTTGGTATATACACTTTCTGCTGCTTTTTTTTACTTGCATTGTGGACACATGCATGACTACTGTGATTGTTCAAAAACCTTTCTCCCCAAAATATCTGGTCAATTTATTAACACTTCTCTCTAAAAATTCTGCTTCCTTGATGCCTATGTTCTTATTGTTACCGGGGTTGCTGTCGTCCAATTCTTGACTAGCTCTCAAATTACTTATCTTTGGGGAAATGTGCATCAACAATCATAGAAAATGTATTATTGTTTTTTAACATGGCTACATATACCAGTACCTGATCTCGAGTATTCTCTGGTAAGTAACAAGAGCTTTTTTTACACCCTTTTAAATAAATATAACATTATTTATCTTTATCTTCTACTTGCTTTATCTTGCTTTATTTAAATTAGAACAAATATGATATATATAGTAATATTTATTATTTTATATATATATATATATATATATAAAGGGTCTCCAGGGAGGAAATGTCAAAATTTTGAAAATATGCTTCTGAGACAATTTTAAGCATATTTTGTGTAATACATTTTTTCGATATTATGAATTTCTTAGCCGCAATAAGCACAAAAAACTGGCTTTGAAAAAATACTTTGAATGCAAAAATTTTGCATTGCAGATGCATAAAAACACTCTAGAAACATGTAAGTTGTTAATTATCTACAAAAGAAATGAATGTATTCATCCAGAAAAAAAAAATAACACGGAAGTAAAAAGGCACCCAATTTACACAATTCATCTTCTTTATTATTATATACATTGTAAAATAAACAAACGAACAAATAACAATTGTGCAGGAAAGAAAAATGATATGTTCATTCACATCTTTGATCCACATTTTCATTTGTTTATTCTTAACACATTCAATCCAGAGGGTTATGGTGCTTGGTTAACACATGTGTCCTGGGCAATATAGCATTATTCAAATTGTTATAAAATAAAAAATAGCGTACACATCAGTTCAAAACTGATAACATTGTGTTGTATTGACTTTCCCTGTCAAGTCAATATTTATTTTATTGTCATTTGGTTATAAGATAATAGTGAGAATGGAAAAAAAACAAAACAAGAAAACACATGATTTCAATTTTTTATTTTTGTGGAAAGAAACAATGTTACAAAATAGGGGAGAAATGCAGTGAATGTCATCCTAAAACAATACTGGTGCACTATAATTATCATATTTTGTTGAAGTTCAAAAACATGTTTACGTACATATTTCTGTTTATTTTTAGAAATATACTGTGGTCAAAAAGTGATGAAATGTGCTCTACTTCAGTTAAACTTCATTCATAGGTCATATAATTTTACTGGTTTTGTCAAAGGTAATTCAGATTATTCATCAATTGCAATACCATTTTAAAGGGAATGAAAACTCGAATTTAAGAAGACTCATCAATAGAATAATTTGCACTATTATCACTCCTTGATATACTTTTCAATGCTCAAACTAGTCAACACTGCAGGAAGAAAATTGTCATTCCCATCAGAAGGGTCTAGTTTCTGATCCATTATTCAAAAACCTTGAATTTCTAATGTTTAGAGTGCCTGTGAATTTGACATCTGAATATGTCTTAATATCTGTTGTATTCTGAACATATGCATGTGTGTCTAACAACACAATCACTACTTTCAAAGAAAGTCATTCTGAACATAATTGGCAAGGCAAGCTAGTACAAATATCTAATTGCTTTCTGGAAAAAATTGCAAATACAAGCAGCAAGTAGAAACACTCATTGACGATTATCCTGCACCCATCTTAGTGACATTAAGAAGTTTTCTGAACATCTTTTCAACAAGTTTTCTGAACATATGCATATGTTGCTAACAGCACAGTCACTATTTACAAAGAAAGACATTCTTTCTAGGTGCCTATAAATGTCCGAGAAATGTTTATACTCTGTTAAAGAAGATAAATGTAAAAGAATGTATGACACACATCCATAGGACTTAATACTAAAATGAAGATGACACTTCCCCATTAACTTGTTCAAATATTTCAGCCCATCCATTTGTTCTTAATAGTAGCTTCAATTGAAAATGCATCGTATCCCTGAGTCACCCCTCTAAATGACAACTCCATTTATCATCTATGTCCTCATTTCAGAACGTTCATTTCCCATATGGTTGTTGATTTTGTTCCTTCTTCTTATGTTGATTGTTTCCATGGCATTGAAGACATTGCCAACCTGTATTCCTATTACAAGTTGGCCGTGTGTATATATGTGTCTTCTTGATGTCAAGATGTTTGAAATAATACATTAAATATCAAATTGTTACCATATTTTTATTTTTTATCTTTTGAGATCAGATGGCTCATCTCAGTACTGTTATTACTTGTTTTCCTCTCTGCTTTTGTATGATGTGAAAATCCACAATCTTATTCTTTTGGTTATTGTGATTCTAGATTCATGTAATTCATTATAATGTTGTTATATCATTTATATTATTATTGTACAAAAAATGGATTTGATGGTCTTGCAGCCATCTTCAGTGCCACATGCAAGAAAGAAATGAGTTGTATACAGTGATTTTAATATTAGTAATAACAATAAATTCAATTGTGAGATGTGAAAGAGATAAGATAACAAATGTTTCAAAACTAAAACTGTAAAGTAAATTGCAAGACATGAGAGATATTTGCCTGAAAATAAAATAAATATTGTATCAAGGTGGCATATTTATCTCTGTGATTGATTTTTGTCGTTTGTCAGTCAGTATTTTTGTTTTTCTGTTACCTATTTTCTGAACACTATATTGTAGAGTTATTGATTGATCACAAAGTTTCAGAACAGGCTTTTTCTTGCCATATTTTTTGACTGTAGTCTGTCTTTTCAAACAAAGAAATATGTTTTAAAACAACTGACATTTAGTGTAACCACTATCATGAGTTCTCATTCTATGTTGTTCAAACTACCATAAATTTACAGCCATAAATAAATTTAAATTTACTTTCTATTGTGTTCTTGGATGACCCACTCTTTTTCTTCCTTCAGGTCTTCTGTCACTTGGCACTATTACCAATCTATCTTTCTCCATTCTGTCTATGTGGTCCATTGTCTTCTTCTTTCATGAATCCAGTCTCATATGATGACTATTTAGCTGGTTTATTGTATGTTAGTGTTGCGTTCTTTATCCCTTAGTGTTTTATGTACTATTTTTCCTAACTCGCTCATCTATGATTTACTTCCATCATTTGACATATTTCCTTGGAACCTGCTCTGGTTTCGGCTGCATATGTCAGTGTGGGTCTAATTACTGCCTTATATATTCAGATCTTAACTTCTTTTTTAAGATATGGGTTATACCTGAAGAGTGGTTGAGACAGTCTACTACCTTATTTACTACTGCTAATATACTTTGTTCTTTTGCCTCACATAGAAATCTACCATCACTGGTTATCACAATGCCTAAATATTTTATTTCCATCACTTGTTCTAATGAGTGTTCTTTCATAGCCAATGTGCATCTTAGTGGCTCTTTTAAAATTGCCATGCATTTAGTTTTTCTATTGATATCTTTATGTTGTATTCTTGGCATGTTTGAAAGGGTTGGAATAAGAGGTGTTCTAGATCATTTTCTTC